ATCAAGCTTACGATCCCGCGAGAACGGCGGCGTTGTCCAGACTTATCGGCAAAAACATCAGGATGCACGTAGCTCGCGTTAAACGAGGAAGAAAAACCACGGGAAGCAAGGAGAAGAAATGGAGAAGACGTAGAAGAACGGGAAGAAGGGAGAGAAGATCTTACGGCGAGCGCAGCGGCGAAGTAATTAAAAGCCGCCGGCGCGAGCGCAAGAGCGCGCGACAGAAACAGAGTACGCCCGCTGGAAATAAAACGAAACGAAACAAATGGAGAGCTCGAGCCCATCTTCCGCGGCTAATCGAATTTTCGCCGGGGCAGATTTCTTGAAATTGTTTTCGCTATTTCAGACCGCCTAGCCGCCCGTCTTCTTCGCGCCGGGCTTGCTACCCCCCTGATAGCTAATGGATCGTTGTTTAAAAAAAAACAGCAAGAGAAACAGAGAAAGAGAGGAAAAGCAACCGGAACACGAGATAGCTCGAAACGCAGAGAAAGCGAGACAACGAAGAAAGAGGAACGGCTCACGGAAGTACGGTGGAGAGTAAGGGGAAATGAAAGAGTTACGCTCCAGGTCGAGGCCTGGCGTGTCGGCGAAACATTATCCCGCTAAGAAAGACAATACACCCGGAGTACAATATTATAATAGGCCGGAGCGTAAATGTATTATAGAGAACGATCGGTAGCCCGGGCATAGAAACTCGTCTATGGTACCTACACATCTCCTCCTCTTCCCCACTTTCCATCTCCTCGTCCTTCTTCTCTTCTCTCTCGGTGTACCTATTAACTGTTACCCTCTTCCCGCTCGGCTCGGAACAGGGGCGGATCATCCAACGATACACTGTCGCGATATGTCTCTGGTTAACATCCACCCCATGCTCTTAAATTTCGCGTCGTCAAACCACGTTGAAATTTTTTTCCCGAGCTTGTCTCGGATCAAGATGTAAAATCTCCCGATTTTGGTAATACATTTTCACGCCAGTACGAGCTTTCCCTCCCGTTTTATCTTTTACTTCGGAAGATCCGTCCAAACGACAAGATATAAATTTAACCGTAAATGAGAATGCAAAATTATTAACATTTCGCCGAGAGTCTCGCAAATTTGGCCAGCCCTGATTTCTTCACCCTTTCTTTCTCATTCTCGTGACTCTTAGCTACTTTCACGTGGCGAACAGCCTTCGTATTTATCCGTAGTTTAGCGGTACAAGGGTTGAATGTCGTGCAACACGATACAACCCCCTTTTCTACCACCTCGTGGACCTTCCTCGCATATCTTCCGACCTTCTTCCGACTCACCTCCGGGGTCTTCCTGTCATCCCTCCGTTCTCCGGGCCCTCCTCCACCCCTCTTCTTAATTGCCCCGGCGCGCGGCTCGGTAAAAACTCGTTAGCCATTAGATTTATTTTCTCTCGCCACGGAAATTCATCCCTCTCCCGTTGCTGTATTAAAAACCGCGCGGTGGTCGTATCACGTTTAACGTTACATATTTTTTTTTTCACATACGCGATTCTCGTTGACCGCGTACAGATTGATCGCCTGCAATAAATGTAAATCTGTTTACGCGTGGGATGGAGGTGATTTTACCCGTTTATCGCGTCGTATTTTCGCCAACACGGAACGCTAATTAATTATCGTGCTCGCGGTATTTACGCGATGTTTTTTTAATTTCTTCCGCGAGAACGTGCGCACACGATCGGAACGCTCGTGAAAGTATGAACACTCCTGAAAATCTAAACCTATGACTGACGATTTAATGGTATCACATTAATTCAAATTGATCTCCATTTCATGCTGGTCTCTTTGTCGCAGTGTTCGAAGTACCCATGGCAACGATTAAAGGTAAAACGATCGGGTCAATATATGGGAAAGCCTATGGGAATTCCTTTCGGCTGTAATTTCAACTCGTTTCGCGGCGCGTTTATATGCGCACTCGTGTATCTGTAAAATTGTATTATCTCCGATTTTCATTATAATGATCCATTCGCGCGAAACACGCACGCATGTACACATACGCACATCCTCGACAGTTACGTAGTTTTCTCGAAATGCGCGAAATTATGATAGCGTTATAGCGCGAAATTATATAACGGCGCTTCGTATTTTTCGTGCGTTTGATACACGATATCTATTCAATTAACGTCGCGTCACGTGAAATTGTATATTGCAGAGAATGTAGACAGAGTATCGCTGGCTGATTGATCTCGCGACGCGAAGACTGTTAAACGATTATAATTCGGCTCTTGTTCCTTTTTTTTCCTACGTCACGATCATGAGTATGCAATTCATTAATGTCTCATGTCGCGACAATCATAATAGCAACAGTCATGGAGATATATGATGTATCACCGAAGAGCGTAACACAAACGCTTTCGCCTGTCGATCGCGGCTAATTGCTGCTTCTTAATTTCGGAACGCTCTCCTAATTAAGCAAGGTTCGCACCACGCTCCTCTTCGAATACCTCCTCTCCCTCGGATTCCTAGTATGACCTCTTTCTCTCTCTTTTTCGTCGGTAAACATCACTGGCTGGCGAATCTCCAGAAGGACTTTTCACTCTTTGTCTCTTTTGCGACATTAAAATAGAAAAGTGGGACGGTCTTTCGCGATATAACCTCTCGGTTCGCTCTTACGAGATGTTGTACTGTCTCGCGATTTTTTTCGTTCAATTCTTCTTGCCGCAGCAACTCTTTCACATTTATTTTAATTTCTTTCACGTTCAACCAAAAAATATTGTAACTTAAAATATCTCTACATTTATCACGATTTTCTTTGATTATTCTTATGATTACATTAACTTGGATTATTTTTATAATTACTTTGCGCAATTTTCATTTTCCGATCGCGCGCTTCGAGCTTTCCTTCTCACTCACCCCGTAGTATTAATTTTTTCGACCCCGCCTTCGTGACTCTTTCCGTCTCTATTTTTTTCTCTCCATGTTCGATCACCAGCGCGGACACTAATGAAATCATTCCCGTAGCGTTCCCGATAGGGTGGGATTTGTACCCCATTGTACCGACGCCCCTACACGCTCCTTTTTTTCCGCTCGCCTAGTCGAACGCGTTCGGGGTCGATCCGAGTCCTCCTATTGGCACAACACGGAGGGTGCTCCGTCGTCAACCCTCGTAGCGTTAGGTAGATTCGCTTTTTTTCTCCCTCATTCTCGCCTCGCCTCGTTCGTCAGCGACTGATTTCCACGTACGTGTGTTACGCGCGAATTATCAATGCGCGATTCTTGGAAGTGGATTAATAATGCGGGGTGGCGATGAAGAACGAGTCGCGGGGTGACTAGCGACGCATATTTAATTCTTATCGATCGCATACGTTTTTCATGTAATTTTTTTGCACGCGCAGAAATGAAATGATCACGAAAGGTGCTAATTCATATAACTATTTAAAAGTGAACATGATTACGTTATCACGGGAAAATTATTTTTGAGCAAAACAAAAAATATAAGAGTTCTCAAAGATACTTTCGATGTCTTTTATACATCGCTTTGGACTTTTGCGTTGTTTGTGTTCTTCTCATCGTTCGACCGAAAGCTCCGAAAGCAGCTATGAGTCAGACGCGAACGGAGAAAGGGAATCAAGAATTTCTGGTGCCTTCCTTATCGGGAGACAAAGCGTTCTCGTCTCGAGAAAATAACGTTCGCGCGAACGAGTGAGCGAGCCGAAGCGAGGGAGAACGTCCTCTTTCTTTCGGACGAGAGAGAAGGAGGAGATGAGCAAGCCGGTGAATATCTCTTAGCGGATTCCGCGAGCCGCGCTGGAGCCGAACGAACAGCCGAAGTATCGTACCGAAGGTTGTCTGCCGGCGAGTCTCGCGGCCTCGTCACTGCTAAAAAAGCCAAGGAAAGACGGCGGCGAAGAAAAAAAAAGGAAAGAAGTAACGACGGGAGGGCGGGAGAAAAGAATTGCGCACCGAGCGCAAAACGGCCTTCGGATTTTATCGCCGTCCGAGAAAAAGAGAGGAGCTCACATATTGTTGATTATCGTTCACATTCAGTATGCATTTTTAAATTATAAATAACTACCAATTCATAAAGCCGCCAAAAGAAATCACAAAGTTTGAAAAAAGTAACCCAAACAAAGAAAGAACATGCATAATTTTATCAAGGGTGTTATATCATACAGCATATTAATAGCGTACTCTGGAAATTAATCTCAAATGTAAAGGTCGTAATTATTTTTTGGCTACAAGTGATCAAAATTGGCCGATTTCGTAAAGTTCTTGCACACAATTAGCTCCATAATTACGTTATAATATTAAAAATGATATTACAAATTGGCAATATATATATGAATGGATAGACTATGAAAAATTAGGATAAAATTAGCGCAAAATAAAAATTAATACATATAATATTTAAAACATTTTTAAATATTAAGCTTTTTTGCAGTTTAAATGTTATTTAATCTTGGGAAGAGATACACAGATAATGCAAACGATGTTAAATTTTATTAAGAAAATATTTGAGAAGAAGAAAATAAATAAAATAATTTTTTTATTTTTTTAACTTTAATATTGCATTAAATAATAATATTATAATATTCTCTCATATGCTGTTTTCTTGTTATGAACTTGTATAAAAATATAAGAAATCATATCTTTACTGTAGATTTATATTCTTATATAGTAAATGTCAATGTTAATGAATATTTATCTGTTTTATTTCATATAATCTTATTTATACCTTTTTATAAGTTTTTCTATTATAAAAATTTTAATTAAGAATTAGTATGTATTTCACTAACGAGATATCGAATATGTTAATAAATGATCGACATAACGAGTTTCATATATTTTTCGATCGACAAGTAATTGAATAAAGTCCAAGAAATATTACACTAATCCATCTTAGTCTATCCATTTTAATGCAATGGATCTAAGAGATATTATATATATTTATAATCTTAAATCCGATACGAACATGTGTCGATGTGCATATATCAATATAATTTTCATAGATCCATTACTCCAAATCAATATAAAATATGGTTCATCAATCACCGATATGATGCGCAGCAGCAGGAGTTGTAAACTGCATCGCGAACTACGTTGATCTGCAAAATAAAAATATATCCAAATTATAGCTTAAAGCAACTAATATTTCAAGAAATAATTGTTACGCACATAAAATACGTATAATTATGAACGATTATTTCAAGTTTAAAGTCATAAATTTACCTCAACGTTGCTTCGCCGTCGCCGGATGCCCCCCGGGCCTCCTCCTCCTCCTCCTCTCAGATTTCTTCGTGGCATTCACACTATATATTCACAAAAACATGGTTAATTATAATTGCACGTGCACTAATACTTTTATACGACACTTCCGTAAATTATTTTTCGTCACATTATTACTAAAAAAATAATATGAAAAGCGCGTGCAAATACAATTCGCTCGACATCTTGTTAATAAGCGTAAAATTTTTAACGGAGGAAAATTTTAATAGATTATTGATGTATATTCAATAATTAGACGTATTAAATAATTAAATAAATAAGTTAGAACGCCGGAGTTATGCTACGTTATTGGAAAATATTAAAATGCGGGTTAACTACGATTAATTAAATGCGTCGCGATCTATTTGACTTGATTTGATTTATTGTTTAATTCGATATACAATGTTCATATCTATTACCGATAGAAAAATCTGATGTTAACAACTTCTCATTGCATGATACGATACAATTAAAGTTGATAACTATTCATAAGGAACGCTCGCGTTTGCTCCTAGTCTCGTTGGCGTCTCGAGAAATAATACGCACCGAGCGCCGTTACCTGCCGGCACGACTCTCACCGCGCGGACGTAAACAATGTCGCGCGCTCGCATGTATACAATAGCATAACGTACGTTATTAAAAAAAAACAGACATAAGCCGCGTGCCAATTGATATTACTACGAAATACATATACACTGAACATATTCTATCTCTCGCAAATTAATTATTGATAAACGGTATATCACTTCGCATTAAATCGCTCTGCTCCGTGCATAACTCCGCGCTTTTGATCCAAAAATAATTAATGGACGAAAAACTTGAACTGTGATGTGAAATATCCGAGATCGAGCAGATTCGAGAATATAATTCGCTTACATATAATATATTATAAGATAATAATTCATAGTTTGTATCTCAATTCCTACTGTAGGAAAGCATAAATTGCGTGAAATATCTGTTTCAATAAATAGTCACTCCTTACGAGTCGTTAATTATGAGAGTCAGTTTGCGCGAATAATTAATAATCGTTAAATATTGATACGAGAGAGGGGAAAATAATCGCGTTTCCTCCTAATATTTGTCGTTCTCGCATCTGGAGAAAATAAATAACGAAATAAGTAACGATACGGAATATCCGCGTCACAGCTTACCGACTCGAATCTCGTGAATGATCGTCGTGTATCAGCCAAAAACACCATTGTTACCGAAATATTTAATATTATATTTAATTGCGCGCTGGGTATCCTGTTTTTCGTATTTCTAATTTCGGTAGAGTTTTCAATAGAATTTTCAATTATGATAGATTATTGTATCGTGCTATTGTAAGTTATTATTAAATTTTACATTTTGAAGAACAAAATTTCGATCGAAAGAGATATTTATAAAAATTAATTTACTATTTTTTTTACCCAAAAACTATTACGATCTGGGCTATTGAAATTCGGCAATTTTTATAAATCATAAGATATAATTTAAAAAAAAGTAAATAAATAAAAACAAAATAAAATATTAATAAAAAAAATAAAATTACCGCAGGGTAGCGATTTATTTTTTCTTGAATTATTAAAACCAACACCGCTTTCATGTAAACTTAAAAATTTAATAATAAAATAACAATAATAAATTAAATGTTTCCCTTTTTCGGTCGTAAAATAAAGATAAATTACATTATTTTTCATTCAGATTTAACATTAAATTTAATACTTGTTTTCAAACGAAGAAATTAATAAATTCTTCAAATTTTTATTAAAAGAAAAATTTAAATAACCTACAACTGTTAAAATGTGTTTAATTTGATATTATCAACTGATTGCACATTTGCATATAAGAAGCTAAAAAAAAATTAACTGAGCAATAAAAATTAGTATCATATTAAAATTAATAAGTCAATAGTTCGTGTAAATGTAAACTTAAATACGTAAACTTTGCGCGATATTATTGGTCAAATTTAATCATTTATAACTCGAATTTTCGTATAAAGATTTTTTAATTCTTTTGCGATCTCCGCTGTTAAAGTATTATACGGTTACCATGAAGCATCTTGTACATTTAAACGTTGCAGATCAGGGATATCATATTGATTGCGTACAGGCATAAAAAAAATTTCCGTCTTGATTTGTTCTAATAGAGTCGCTCTACTAACAAGATCTCAGCCCTCGATCAAAGATGGTCCCGTCTCTATGAACACAAAATGGCCACATCGCGGCCAACGTCACGCACCGCTACGCGTGTGCTCACACCCACTTCCTTTTTACGCCACTCCCTGACCCGGGCCCGCGTCAGGCCTCGAGGAACGGATAATCTACGACCGGGATCGCCGGGAAAAATCGAGAAACCAATCGGCGATACGATACGAAAAAATTCGAGAGAATAAACGTAATCGCGTCGGCCGAGCAGTCGACCAATAATTTAATATGATCAGTGCCCAATGAACAAAGAAACCGATAAAATTTATAATTACCACCTTTTAATCGGAAGACCAAATGTTTCGCGGCTAAATTGAGTACCGATATAATTATTTACAGCGCAATGGTAAAAATACCAGACATAGACGTCACTTTGCCGGGCGTTATATTCCCTCGTATTATTCAGCAATTATCAATCATCTCTCTGATATTGATTAACGCCGCTGGAAATTTATTTAGCCAACGAAAACAGAATTATTTGCGAATTTACGAATAATTTCGATGCATACGAATGTTTTCAATCCGCGATGAAAATGAATACAAATTGAAGAACTCTCTCTTCCATATTCACCTTCGATATAATCGAAATATTTTGAAACAGAAACAAAAGAGTGCATGTAAAACCGATTGCGGCAGAATCTCTGCATTTCTGCTGAGGCAAAAATCCTGGTGCAATGCAGAAAATCGGCGGCTCTGGCAGACATACGTACAGGCTCATACTGGGACCAGGAAGCATGGAATTGGGAATGGTAGCGAGCGAGAACAGCGTACAGAGAACAGCGAACGTATAGCCTCGCGAGAGAGATGAATCTGGTCACGGTGGATCATAAAGTCCCTCGGGGATTCGCCCACGCCGCGTCCACTCTCTCAGCCGAGTCGGAGAGAATAAGCTGGAGGAATGAGGAGAGAGCAAGAGAGAAAAAAGAGTGAAGAAGAGAGAGAAAGGAGAGCGGGAAAGATAGGAAAAGAGAAAGAGAAGGGGAGCTCGAACGTGGGATGGAGAAGAGGGGAAAGAGCGTCAGAGAAGTCGAGGCACTCGCGGCGCAAAAAGCGAGGATGCAGGCAAAAAAGGAAGAGCGCGACGAAGAAACCGGTTTTTTCCAGTTGGGCCAGGTCGGGGCGTCGAACCTAGGGACCGCAGCCTCCCTCCGAGAATAACTTACATGCAGCAGCGGCGGCGGTGGCGGTGGCATGGCCAACGACGCCGTCCTCGTTGCCGTCTTCTCAATGCACTCGCGGCTGCCCCAGGTTCGGGATAAAAAAGGAGATAGAAGGCATAAGTATGCCGGCGGTCGGCCACCCACTCTCAAGTTTATCGCGGGACAAGAGTGGAGCCGAGCCAAGCGAGAAGAAACACGTGTGAGAATACGCGTGTACGCGAATGATGAAACGGAGCTGGGAGGAAAACCGGAAGGAGGAAATCGAAATGGATGCGACAAGGCGATTATCGTCTGATTGGTATCCCCTCCCACCTAGCCTCGTGGCATGCCGTCTCGCTTGTTTATGAGCGGGAAGAGCCGGCAGAAAATCAGGATTGTGCGCCAGCATCTGACACGTCGTTAAAAATGTCGAGGAAAGGAGGAAGTACGAAGAGGCTTTAGATGAGCGTGTATATGTACTTATAAAGAAGATACATTCTCTCCCTCTCGGAACGAAGAGAAGAAGTCTATAAAGACGAGTGCGCAAAAATAAATCCACGTTTAACATGCGAAAAGCGGAAAATCACGACAATAATAGAGGAGAGGCAGGAGGTGTGTGAGAAAAAGGCGGCCATGTCGAAAAAATTCCGAGGTCATTGCCGTTCAGAACTTGTTTTTAGCCTTTTCTCGCTCCGTGTTCGTTGCCTCAACGCGTTCGCGATTGTCCCAGGTCCGGAATAAAAAGAAAGACGATCGACAGAGAAAGAGGTAGGGCGAGGTATGTGGGAAGGGAGAGGCGAAAAAGTATGAGGAAAAGAAGAAGACGAAGTCGCGAATCGGAGAAGCAAGAACAGGAAGGAAGAGAGGAACGGGAGGCCCCGAAACTCTTTGGGGTCATTGCCGTCCGGTCTTGTTTTAGCCCGTTCCTGCCCGTTCACAACCTTCTCTTTCTTTTTCGCGCCTTTTTCTTTTTTCTCCTCTCGTACTGCCGTTTTAAGCACTCTTTCGAACAAGGTACGGCCGCCGCCATGTTTTTCCTCGAGCGCGTGTACACCTACCGCCTTGTATGCGTGCAAGCAACCTTCGCGTGTTCAGATAGAAAAAGAGGAAAAAAGAAAAGAGACAGATAAAAAGGGGGGACGCAACAGAAGAAGCAAAAAAAAGACATCAGGATAATGCGATCGGTGCGAATCGGTTCCTTACCGCGTGACCAGCCAGAGAATGAAGGGGGAAAAAAAATCATTCTATCTGGCACTGAGAGGACGTCGAATTTCATTTATAATTTCATTTTAATCCTAATTTTAATATGGCCGTTGATAGCACAACAAATTCGGTAAAATAAATCGTGAGATAGAGCTTGTTTAACGTACAAAGCAAAGAAAAGAAAGAAAAAATCAAAAGGAATGCAGATGCGAGCCGAAGATGTGCTAGCAGCGACCATGGTAGTTAAAACTGATGTATGGTACAAGCTAGTCATTCCATGCTTCGCATTCCCGTTCATGGGTGAGGTCGCACGGGGTCGATCGGAGGTCCAAGGTCGATGAAAGTGCTCGCTTTGTTTTCGCAACGCAACGTCTGGCATCGGCCTTTAGGTACATTCATACGCGAGACGAGGCCGATGCCTGGCAGCATTAGTCGATGAAATCCCTAATCGCGGTTAAGGATTAATCTGCTCCGATCGTTCTCTGGACCCCACGCTTCCACATATTTGTCTGTCTAGGCTTCGCTTCAAGTTTCCCCGATCATTATACTCCCTAACGCTCCTCTCCATTTACTCGAACCGAGTGCTCTGATCTGGCGTTAAAGACAATGTTTTTAATCGGTCAAGACTCTTTCTATACATCTCTAGTTTTACATTCATATATCACAAAGTGTTCGAGATTACAAAATTAGAATCAGTAATACGTATTTGAGAAAAACGTATATGGGCACAGTATTCCTCGCAATAGATACGTTGGAGATTACGATTGTAATTCCAATAATATCGAGATTTACACCTTATACCTATCCCATAATATTCCAAGAGCTAGCTATGATCTTTACAGTATCTTCGCCGACGATTCACTTGCCGCAATCTAGCCATTTGCCAAACATACAATATAATTCTTTTTTAAAGCAACATTAAAAATTAAATCATTTAATTAATTTTCCAATCTATACAAAGATATTTCAGAAGCAAAATAAAATATAAAATATTGTTTTTCGTTTGATAAGAAATGAATAAATTGCGGCAGTAAATGGATCATTATTGAACGGAGATATCAGTATACCTCGAAAGAGAGAAAATTTCGTCTTTTTTTCTGTTTCGTTATCTCGATTCTTTTCAATCGTACTTGACCGACTGGAAACCCAGCCAGGGCGCGATACCACAAAGTTCCTACCAGACACACTCGACATGAATTCCCTGTGCAAAGGAGTAGTTTGTGGTGGCGGCGGTTTATTGGTGCCTTAACTCTCACTGGTCAATCGTTCTGTTCTGTGCCCTGCCTGTCCTGCGCTTCTGGTTCGCAACTCTGTGGTGGTATTCTCTGGGTCGGCTCTCTACCGGTGCGCCGCGTGTGCCTGCTTCCGGTACTTCCGGGCCCTCAAAAAAGGAGTTGCAACAGCGTGTTGTGTTCCAGCAACACGCCGCCCTGATCGGCGGTCCGAACGCAACCAGCTGTCCAGTATGCCACAAGCTCTTCCTCGGCGGTGAGGCGTTGATGGAGCATATGAAGCACACCCACAAGGACCCGAACGCCTCCGGAGTTGCCAGTAAGTATTAAGAAATCGCGTATCAACCGCCCTCTCGGCCGGTCGTCTATGTCTCTCTCCTTTCCCCGCGCGTTGCTTACCATTTCTCTTCATTCGCGCACCTACTAATCTTCGTTAACCATAACCAATCGATTAATTGGAATCCGATCGCGGAGTCTCGTAAGCGGAGTGCATCGTTGCATGAAGCGAGCTTGAGAACAAAACCTTGACCGTGTCATTCCTTACTGACTAATCAACGAACTTAACACCAAATCTTGCTCGCGCATTAACTTTCTAAGCGAAAGACCTAACTCTGTTCTTTCTTTTCTAACGCATTTAATTCTTAGCCAGAATCTTTAACTATGATCGCGAGGAGCCCCTTAAGGGTTCTAAGATAGAGAAAGAGAGAGACCGGCATAGACACGAGAGCGGCGACGTTAATCGTGAGTAGGACTAAGAGAGAGGTGGAGCAACCGCTCGTCGAGACACGAAGGGTGGTTCGTTCTTTAGCCTTTAAGTACGTTTCGCATCCATCCCAAAAACTTGCTTTGGCGCGGGCGATACGCACACATTGTCCTTGTTCACTTCTTCGTATTGTTTTCGCCTGGGCGGGAAAGACGTGTAGCATTTGGCACACTCGCCGACTAATACTTGGGTACTACTCGCTAATACAGATACACGATGCTTCGAGGGTGTCTCGTTCGACCTCTATGCGTGCCTTGACACATGCGTGCGCGATACGTGTGCAGACTGGCGGACGTACAGAGAGAACAAAAGTCAACCTACTCTGCTTCTTCGTTCAACTTTAAAGCGAGGAATCGGCGTTTTATTCTTGATTGTGAGTGCCGACACGGTGGTCTGTCACAGTGATATCGACATAGTCGGCATTTGAAATGTGAAAACTAATGAATCGCACTATATTGCGAATACACGTTAAGCATATAACCTTATCGTTGTTTAAAATCGCAAGAATTTAGATGAGATTAAAAAATCGACTACGATCGACAAGACGAATGATGATATCTTTTTATTCGTGTCTGTTCGATGTAACAAATAGCGGACGTTTTTCGTATATAAACGATCTTTTCAAAGAGTTTTATATATTTTTTTTTCTCTGTACGTTTGCATATGTGCAACGCGCGCGAGTACGTCTGTGTGCATCCTGGCTTTTTGGGCCAGCGACCTTGCTCGTGAAAGGGAGTTAGCAGCGCGGTGGCGACGGCGCCGGCCGACGAGTACTCTGCTTGCCCGAGGTCAGTGCTCTCTCCTGGTCCTTGGCTATCCGCGTCCGTAAGGTCTCCCTTCGCCTTCGAGGTCGACCGGAATCTGTGCGTACGTACGCGCGCGCGTGCACGCGAGTGCGTGAGAAATAAGGTGGGGGAGGAAAAAAGAGAGAAAGAGAGAGAGCGAGAGAGAGAGAGATGTGAGAAAACATAACGATGGTGGAGGAGTTGGGTGAGGAGGAGGCGGCTTTCGTTCCTTGGGACGCTTTATCCTGCTTGGCATTGACCTTGAAATTGTGTCGCCCTATTGTTCCCTCCGCTGACTGCACAACCTCCGTTGCCGGGGTTTACCTAGCGAAGCGACGGACCGCCAACCACCCGTGCCCAGTGTGCGGGAAGCACTACGTCAACGAGGGTAGCCTTAGGAAGCATCTAGCCTGCCATCCTGAGACCAGTCAACTTAGCACAAGCCTCAGGATGTGGCCGTGCTCGGTGTGCCAAGCCGTCTTCACTCATGAGAGCGGTAAGTATTTAGCCCACGTAAACGTGAATCGATGGGCCGATCGGGTCCCAACAGTAGCTCGGAGTTCGAAGTAAACACAGTTGAAAGTAAACACGATTCATTTTCATTCTATGCTGTAAACTTATGATTTTCATTCTGTGGAGTATAACTTACGTTTACAACAAGTGACATCAATTATCGTCCATATACGCGCGACTATATGATCATCTTTCTATACTGTGACCACGCTCGTTTTCCTCTGGTGTTAAGGTCTCCTGAGCCACATGGAGCACATGAGAATGGACCCGAAGCATCAGTTCGCGGCGCAGTACGTGCTGAGCCGCGCGGCCGCCGAGAGGCGGGAAAGGGAGATTCTCGCGAGTTCGAGTTTAGGTATAACAGACAGACACATTTCTCTAATGTCAAGGAATTAAGTGGCGTCAAAACCGTCGCATAGAAAGTACGACACTGCACGACGCCAATGACTAAACGGTGTTCTAATATAACGACCTTACGCTGTACAGGAGCGGGTTTGGGCGTGTTGGGAGGAAGTCAATCTGGAGGACCGCAAAATTTGCAACAACCACCAATGTGCCCGTCACCGTCGGCCCATTCGGATAGCAGTAGCGGCAACGGAAGACTGTCGTCGGCCGGTAGTGAACCTGGTACGCTACGATACTTGTTCTACGTCTACCAAGTATCTAGATATAATAGTTATAATATTGTCGCATTTTGCCCGAGCACAGTTTGTAATCTCGCCGTTATTCACCTTTTTTTCTCTGATTTCGTTAATGACATAACTGTTGTGAAGTATCATTAGTGAACTTATTGTAGTACACGTAAGCTAGAATATATATGAATATATATGCTTGAGTCGAAATAAAATATTTACGAATTTCTGGTCTGAGTAATAATTCTCTCATGTGAACGGCGCTCACTACGGTCTGCTCTTATGGGCGGTTTCCACTTCGGGATGTCGCCTTTTTAACGCTTTAGCGTGCCAATTTATATATCGACGCGGAATGATATATGCTACCTAGTTAGACTAGTAAAATGTGCGTGAAAACCCCCGCCCTTCCATCTACCTGTACATACTGACGAGAGCAGATTTTTGCGCAGGCACCGGTCTACTGAATAACAACAACAATAATAACAACAATAATATGGCGTCGCCGGGACCGAGTGGCAACAAGCTCAGCGAGATACTGCGAACGGGAAGTCAACCGGGTTCGGCGCAGCAATATCATGATGAGATGCAATCGCAGCAACAACGCATGGCTGTCATGGCCGCCGTGTCAGCGGGTAAGAGAGATTATATATATATATATATAAAAGGCGCATGAATCTTCGAAAAATGCGTTATCACTTATCAGTACAAAATTGCACGAGAGGGGAAAGCTGATAGCTTCGTTCCAATTATTACCGATAAAACTTGATTTACAATGTTGTTTCTCCGCTCACAACATTGCATTCGCGTTACCCGCTTTTCTCATGTCTTCGACGAGAACTCGAGCGAGCAATTATAAGTACGTTCGACGTGACTGCATTTGTTGCCGAGGGAAATGACGTTCCTACGTTGCAGAAACGCGTTGCACGATTATTATGTGTGTTACTGTGTGTGATATCACCGCAAGTTAATTTAGTAAAATTTATCGCGCACGTAGTTTCTTTCGCGGAGAGCTACAAGTCGTAACTCGTCGAGAAACTTGCTGAAGAAACGATGATAGGAAAAACAAATATCGGAATTCCTTACCATCATTCCTCTCCTCTCTTTCTCTTTCTTCCCACGATCAAAGTTGACACGAGACAGCGTTTGCGAACAACCCTCCTTGACACGTGTTCCACAGATCGTGATTCAATCGCCATGCTCTACCATAAGATTCTGAAACACATCGTAAAATACTGTCTTAAATTTAACATTGCAAAAAGAGATGTTTGTTAAAATATATACCTTGCAATCTATTGCTATTTAACATGGATTAGAAAAGCGTACTATATTATTTAGATATAGGCTTTAAATTACTTTCGATGGTAAGCGAGATGTGAAAGCGATATTTCTGTTAGGATTGCAAAATTCCGTATCGCCTAATCTCTCGCCGGTCGACATGGCATCGCTGGCGGCGGCTATGAGAATGGGCAATAACGGTGATATGAGCGGCGGTACTCAAGGATCGACGGGACCCCAACAACAGGGAGTGCAAGCGAGTGGACCGGAGCAAGCTCTGAGAATGCATCAGGCGGAAGCTTTGCTCCGTTCTCAAGCCGAAGCTGCCCTACGACTTGCGGTAAAAAAGATAGCTAATTCTTCTATTACAAAGTTAAAAAGCACGACTTCACAATCTTCATTTTAAATATTCAAAACGTAATATTATAAAGCTATAAAGATTGAGAGAATAACTCATAAGTTGTATTCTTTCGCAAAGCAAAGATAAAAACAAATAATAAAAATCAAACTTTAATGAAAGTAAATCAACAAAGTGTAGTGCCTATAAAAGTCAACACAAGATGTTCAAGTATACATTGATTTCATTTTATTCAATTAAGATTCATAAACGTTTCGATAAAAAAGCAAAAGTAAAGACAGCTCAAACATTTCTCAGTTCTTTTCCTCTTTTCAACTTTTTCTTACATCTTTGCGCAGGTATCTCAAGCGGCGGCAGCCGCGGCGAGTTCCGCGGTGGGCGGCGACGTAAGGCATCATTTGGGACAACATAACGGAGGCAGCACCTCCGGTATGCCGGGACACCATACGAATCAACAAATGTCCCAACAGGATGCTCTAACGCCGGATCTCGGTAAGTGATACAAAAATCCGGTGGCACGCTGTTGTACGACTGTAGCGTCGAAGTCTAATTTCGAGACTTTTTTTTTGAGTTTTAATTTGTGATGAAAACTTCTACAAATCGTCGACACTCGACATCTTTCAGGAGAAGCGCTACGGCTACAGGAGCAGCGATTAGAGCAGGCCCTCAGGCTTCATGGCGGCGATCCGCGCGCCCTGAGTTTCACTCTGGCTCAACACGTCGTCAACCAGCAAAGCAATCAGCAACCATGAAAATTCAGTTACTACTGAGATGAGTGGACCCCTTGGGCGCCGGATCAGACGACCCTACAGCAGAACGAGCGCATGAATCAGCAACAGTCGCAATCGTCGACAGAGCGCTCGACACCGTTGCACGATCAACAACAGCAACAGCAGGGCCCGTCTACTATCGGTCATCACCAACAGCAGCAGCAACAGCAGCAGCCTGAAGACCGTGGCGTCAAGAGAAAAGCCGACGAGATGATCGGTAACTCCGAAAACGCGTAAGAGCGATTACGTTCGTTATGATCGACATGACGTAATTGTCATCGTCATCGCTGACGTAATTCGCTCCTGCGCCCAAGTGCGGTCGCCAGAATTTCACTCACTGTCTCAGCAGTAAGAAAACGGAAACAAACGAAAGAACTTTGTAAGAAAGAATGTGTACTTCGGTGTCTTCCTACTCGGATAGAACCGATATCAGGCCGGACCTCAACCGGAAATTGATCGAGGGTATCATCCTCGGTTGACGAACTCTCCGGATGGGGCCGCGCCAGACGACGGGAGGAGAGTGAGAATACGTACGTGTATAGCAAAACCGTTGCACGGCACGAGGCGGTCAAGATCGACGGTGGCGACGGTCGTCTCTCGCGATTTCCCGCGCGCTTCTTGCGCGGTTCCGCGTCGTTCCTACACCGGTCCTGGATCAAGGTTCTGTCGAACGGTATCCGCGACGGCGTTCTCACGTTGTCTTCGTATTCCGTTAAGATTCTCAGGACACGTCGCCACTGCCGTACCACCGCCTCGACTTCCGAAACGTGCCATAATAACTAACGAGAAGTTGCTTAAAAAACAACATTAAGTCATCTCGGTTATCCTATTTCGGGGTAATCCGGGGTGCGCTCTGAGGTACTATGATCTTTTAGTACAAGAGCCGATTAAGCGGTATGAGACGGTACCGAGGGTCCAACGGGCGATCCTCGACCGTCTCGTGCTGGCCAGGCTCAACAAACCTAAACTATATATAAATATTATACATAGATACGTCTAACTCCACCGAACCGCGCTTAAAAGGTTCCACCCCCTAAATCCCCTAATCGTAAAAGGTCCCGTAATGCTTAAAAAGCGAATCGCACACCAACGTAACATCCACGTACACAGGCTCATCATAACGTGTGCATCGCGTGGTCGCGACGAACGTTTCACCACCAGCGAGTGGTGCCGTATTGTCGCGTTGTACGGTTGTTAATTATATACGTACCGAAATCCCCTTCCCCGTGTGTGTGTGACAGACGGACGCGACGCAATCCGTACGGACGTTTTCTCACTTGCGATCAACGTTTCGCGCGACGACGACAAAGCGACGTTGACATTCCGCGCACGAGAAAGGAACGTCGTCGGACGTAACGCGTCGGCACAGATACGTACGCACACACACGAGCATACACACGTAAATACATTACACATACATTACACATATGTACACATGTACAATACATATATTACAAAACTCATCAGCAGCACACTTTTAAGGTGAAAATATAAATGCGCGCAACTTGTGCTCGTCGGTAGCACGAAAACTATTAGCTCATAAGCGAACAAACAAAATATAGTTATTACAAACAGTTATATTATATATATTATATATACATACAGAGTATGAAGAGTATGACAGAGACAAAAAACCGGGCGAAACCCATTCACACTTACACGTTTAACTGAAGGTGCGGTAAGCGTGAAAGAGCGAGCATTTTTCGTGAACAAAGCACGCGACGGAGAAGAGAGAAATAAAAAAATAAATGCTAAATATTATATATATTATATATATAAATATTATAAATAATGAATATAGGGTCTATGAGACTAGGATAGTTAGGCGAAAGGGAAATATGAGCGAATGCGGAGCGCGCGCCCGCGTAGGTTTTACGTGATCCCAAGCATTGTCGATGTGAGAATGCGACCGAAGCGGAGGAGGGCATGTGCAAAAGCGAGAAAGGGAGAGAGAGCAAGAGAGGGAGAGAAAGAATATGTGAATGATTTTACGAATGAACGACCTTGGGATCGACGTAGACACACGGGCGCGCCGTTGAGCGAATGATCTGATCGAGTAAACGTGAATGCTTCGTGAGCATCAAGGAGGAGCGAATGAGAAGACGAGAGTGAGATTTTAGAGTGGCATGCTTCAGGTAATCTGAGGTCCTGTGATCGTTATAAGCGAAATATTTTTTTATTTCCGGGTAATATAATCTGAAACGCGTAAAACTCTTGCGTCGTTTTGAACTTTTACTTGCAATATACCGTTACGTTCTCGCAATACTTAGGATGAAGAAGAATAAGAAGACGAATAGGAAATAAAGAAGGTGGATGAACAAAAACAAAAGAACAAAAAGAAAAAGATAATACGAAAATGAGGATGACGAGGGAGAGGAAGAATATAAAGAAAAGTCCGTAGGTTTGATCGTGGAGCGAACCGAACCAGCCCCTTATCCTCTTAAAATTCCCCTTTTCACGACGTTCCATCAATTCGAATCTCCAGAGTTGACCAAATTTTTCATCGTCCTGTTCATCTCTCCGAATTTTTGACTTAAGCTTTTGGATCATTCGTACTTTCGATAGAATTATCTTTCGATGAGACTAGACGAGACTTTCCCTGGACAATTTTTTTTAGAATTCTTAATATAATTTCTCTGAATGTGTTTATATAAACTTCAAAATATATTTTTCAGAATTTTTATATAACGAAATATTTTAAGATTTGTAAAATTTCTCATAATTTCTATAATTTCTGAAAATAAAAATCTTAAAAAGTTCAAAGTACTTTTTCAAAAAGTTTCATAAATTTATATTACAAATTCTTAAAAATATCATGAAATGTGAGAATTTTGTTCATCAGGACTGACTGTAAAAAACATCAGAGAGAATCATGTTTATGACGTTTCGTTGGAAATAATTTTCTCGAAGCACGAGAATGAGAATTCCTAAAAGAAAGTAAAAACCGACGGAGATTTAGAAAGGCGATTGAAAAAAGCGACGAAGAAAAAAAGTTAAAGCATTGAAAAGTCGATTCGATGAGCATTTATCTATGACACGATTTGATTTCTTCGTTTCTTGGAATGGCAATCGCGGATTGATATATCTAATGCGGAATTGAATGATAGCGTGCCGAATTTCACATCTTTGGACATTAACATCAATCGCATTACTATTATTGTTGTTTCCTTTCGGAGACTCGACGAGACTCTTGACCGACTTATTTTTGAAAATCATCCCCTTTGATCCTCGCTTTTCATCCAAAAGTTTTCCTTTCATCTTTCGAAAATGTAGAACTTTCTAAATTCTGTCAAAAAAAAGTACGCCTACGAGTATAACTAGCAAAATCTTTTCTCTCGCTACGTTTGGAAATTATATTTTCCATGAATTATGAGAAATTATGTAACAAAAAGCTTCCCTTTCATGACGCATATACTTCCTTCCCATCTTTCATGTCCATTTGTTCGCCAATTACGAAAATAACCTAACGTCGTCATCTTCGTTGAACGTAAAAGACACGCGCCGAGAAGCCGCCGGATAACCAGGCTTTTTGACCATCTGGGACGAGAGATGAAAAGATCACTAAAGGATTCATCGTCAAAGCTACATTTAACGATTGCACTCGTCTCGCGATCGGAACTCGACGGATACGTCTGGCATATTTCTTTTCAAAAAATTTTCTAAAATTTGTGCTCTTTCCTATCAAGATCAATTTAAAAACGGGTCAATTTCATCATCGGGATCAATTTTTTCGCAAATCGTGAATTCGGAAAATTTGAAAAATTTATAAACTTGTTATTTTTTT